CCGCCGCCACCGCCGCCCAGCCTCACCGACAGCAGCTCGGAGGTGTCGGACTGCGCGTCGGAGGAGGCGCGCCTGCTGGGCCTGGAGCTGGCGCTGAGCAGCGACGCTGAGTCGGCGGCCGGGGGTCCGTCGGGGGCCCGCACCGGGCAGCCGCCCCAGCCCGCACCGTCCGCGCAGCAGCCTCCGCGGCCGCCCGCCTCCCCCGATGAGCCGTCGGTGGCCGCGTCGTCGGTGGGCAGCAGCCGCCTGCCGCTCAGCGCCTCCCTCGCTTTCTCCGACCTCACCGAGGAGATGCTGGACTGCGGGCCGGGCGGCTTCGTGCGGGAGCTGGAGGAGCTGCGCTCGGAGAACGACTATCTTAAGGTGGGGACACTGATGGGGGACAGGGAAGTCGCAGGAGGTGCCGGCTGTCACAGCCCCTTGGGCCTGAGGCACCAGCCAGCCTGCTTTCCCAGTGAACTAGCTGGAGAAAGGGGCCTAAACCCTTTGGGGACCACCCTGAGGTTGATTTAGGGCTTCTTTACCCTTCCGTCTTCACCCCCCAACTTTATTTGGGAGGCTGTCTCTTGAGGAGGAACCTGGATGAGGAGACAGGCTGAAGCGCCCAGATCTGGGGAGAGGGGGCTCAGGAAGCTCAGGAAGACTGTTTTGGAGGGTGCTTAGGTGCAATGCTTGGTCTGGGGGTGGGTAGTTAGAGAGGGGCTGCATCCCTGCTTTTTGCTGCTCAGGACTCCGACCCTAGGCTTCTTTCTGTGTCAGGTAGACCTGTGGCCTTCTGCTAAGGAGAGACCAGAAACGCCATCCTGAGCTGCAGGCCTGTCCCCGCCTGCCTTTTAGGGCGGGTCCAGTTTGAAAGCATGACATCTGGGAACATCCCCTTGGCTGGAGTCCACTTCCGCCCAGTCTAACGGTCTCAGAGCCTGGGAGAGTGATGTGGGAGAACGGGTTCAGAGGCAGCTTCCTGAATCCCAAGATGTTGTTTTCTGCCCTGTCTGGGACAGGTCTTGTGCACACAGCTGTCCCCTCGGCCCCTCCAGTGCCCATATCCTTCCCATGTTCCTGGGGAGAAGAGAGAAGCTGCCTGCCTGGCAGGGGCATTCCCTAAGCTTCTCTGGGAGAGCAAGTTTTGGCTTCACCCTTTCAGTGGACACAGGCACCCAAGGGATGCAAGCCAGCCTTTGTCTACCTACTGCCTGGCACCATGGCAGCTTTAGGGACAGCCCAACCCTTGTGTGTTGACCTCCGCCCTGGAGGCTGGGAGCTTCTCCTGCCAGTGGCCAGGCACGAATTTGGAAGAGACTGAAATGTTGCCTACTCTTGCCAGTTGATGGCCTGGCACAACCCCCAGAGAGCCCCTGGCCGAGAGCCTCTGGTTAATAGCACTCTGCTGATTTGTGTCCGCCCCATAGCACTTAACTTTTAACTTTTCGTTGTGGCTCTTCTGTCCACATTAGAGTGTTGGGTTTTGGCTCTGTTGTGTCTCTCTCTTATTATTTCCCCCCAGGATCTGCTATCCAGCAATGTATGCAGGAAATGCTTATGGTATAGAAGGACAAGGTCTGTCTGAATTAGGATAATCTACCCCTTCAGTCTTTAGTCTTTCCCCAAGCCTCAGTCCCCTCATCTGTTAAATGGGAGGGTGAGTCTTCCCAAAGACATTGGAGAGTTCATTCAGCTCTTACAGAGGCGAGGTCTAGTGGAAGGTGAGAGGAGGGAGAAGACAAGCCAGGAGGGTCTTTTGCTCCTGCCTTCTCAGTACTCTGAGCTGATTCCAGTGCTCACTGCCTGAGTTGACTCCCAGCTTCTCACCCCTGCCTCCTGGTGCCTGTGTAGTCTGGTGAGGGTCATAGAGCTTTGCATTAGGATCTCTCATGCATCTGTCCCTGTGGGCCTCTGTCCATCTTAGGAGGTGATCCTGTTCTGCCCTGAAGTCTGTTTGAGCCACTCATGGCTGTTTAGATTGGGAAATGGTCCCAGGAGGCTGGGGGTGGAGCCCATGGTCTCACAGGAGGCAGGGCCCAGCAGGGGACATCTCTCTGCCTGGGCCAGGCCTGGGCCTTTAATTTCTACCATTCATTCAGTGGTTCAGTCTTCATAAGCAAGTCTTCATGAGGCTGCTGTTGGATCTGAGGTCTGTAGCTCCCCGACTCTGTGATCTTGGGCAAGTTTATTTAATATCTCTAGACCTCAGTTTCCTAATTTGGAAAAATGGGACCATAACACACTTTCCAACCTCAAGGGTTAAGTGAGATAATGCCTGCAAACACTACTAGAGCAGAGTGGAATGTAGTGAACCTCAGATGAAGTAGCTGTGATCACTGCTATTCTCATTGGAGTGGTACATGTTTCCATGTGCACCTGTCATGTTCTCTTGTGGGTTCTGTGGGTGCAGAATAGATCCTGTTCTCCACCCAAAGCAGACTGGACCTTTTCTCCTGGCTCCTCATTCATTCATTTACTAGTTATTTAGAGCCTGCTAAATACTAGTGCAGGTCTGATATACAACTGTGGACAAGGGTGAAGTGTCTATTTTCATGGAGCTTTGGGGAGACCAGGATCAAACAATAGTTATATAATAAATCACAATACAGATCATGATGTGGGTAGGGAAGGGGATGGTGTGCTAAGAGTACATGAGGTGGGGGCTGGGCTGCCCAGGAAGGCTGAGAGCTGAAGGATGACATGACATTCAGCTAGCCGAATAGGGAGCTGGAGTAGGAACGTTCCAAGCTAAGGCAATTCAGAGAAACCTTGTTGAATTCAAGAACCAGAGAGGGGAAGGAGGTTGGATGAGAGAGGTGACCAAGGCCAACCCATGCAAATGCTCACTGTGTAGAAGTCAGTCCCTTGACTTCTATGGAGGTTTGTTTACCCTGGCTGTTAGCCTCACAAGGCTGGGTCAAAATCTAGAGACTGAGTGTGGACCACAAATACGGGGGTTGTAACAGGAGGTCTGTTCATTCCATGATGGGTAAACTGTGGCCAGATTAGGGGAGGGACTTGCTATAGGTCCCAGAGCTGGGTGTGGAGTCAGAGTGTGTTAAACTCTTGATGTTTCCTGGCCCTCTACTTAGAGGCCACTCTTAGAAGCCACTCTGCTTCTAAGATGCAGAAACTGAGTAACAAAGGATAAGACTCCAACTTCCTAGTGTGTCCCCTTCAGGGGCTGCTTGGGTTTAGGAGAGTCTGGTTGGTGGCCCTGCTTAGGCTCATCCCTCCCTCCCCCAGCTAATCTGGGGGCACTAGAAACTATCAACTAGGGAAGAACTCTCTGGAGATCTCCTGTCTTATGTGGCCTGCTCTGGGGGCCCATGTGACGAAAATGTAAATTGGGCAGCTTTCCCCAGTGAGAAGATAGAAGGAGCTTCTACAGAAAAGGTAGTGAGCTCGCCGTCTCTTGAATTATCCACAGAGAGGCTGGACGACCTCACATGCTTGGATAAACACATAGAGTTTGTAGAAAGCAGCTTATAAACTGTCCAAAATGCTGCTGGTTGTGGTTATTTGAGGAGTGTTTGGGGGAGATTTATGTAGTGACTATAGTTGAGTTGCCTGACCTTGGCTCTCTGTAGCCAAGGAAGTCTGAAGGTTATTAACTGCAGAGGTTCTGGAATTCTAAGATGCAGCTGTAGCTGCAGAGCAGACACATCAGCTGAGTTTGACCTTTAAAGCCTTGGTGGTCTGAGGTCCTCCAGCTTCTCATCACCACTGTTACTACTGTTACCCATGTCCATGTGGTGAGGACATGTGGGAATCTACTGGATATAGATGGAAGAATCTAAGAATTGGAGCCCATGGCTTAGAGACCTGACTCTGCTATCTACTGCGCGGCCATGGGCAAGTCACTTAGCCTGTCTGAACTGCTCTTTTTCAGCTTTATAATGAAGCTAATGGGACCTGCCTGGATAATCTCATGGAATTGTTTTTAGGAACCAGGAAAATACAGATAAATAAAACATTCTGCAAGGAGTGCAATTCTACATCTCACGAGGAATTATTATTCTTAGCCAATGAGCAGACAGGATGTCTGGGTGTTTCTACTTAGAGGAATTGGGAGAATGCAAGAGGGTGGACTTCCATAGCTTTAGAGTATTGATAAATCAGTAGCCACTCTAGGAAGGACAGCAAGGTGTGACCACATTCCCGTGGTATGTGTGGGCTCTGGGAAGTCAGACCTCCTTACATCCTTGATTCTAGATGTCAGCTCAGAAGGGCTCAGAGGAGCAGCTAAGCTACCCTCAGTTGCCATTTTACAGATGGGTAAATGAAGGCCCCGAGTCATACAGCTGGGATTCCAGCCCAGTTTGGTCTAACCCTGGGTCCTGTTCTTTCTGCATTGTGACCAGAGCAGGGAGCTTCTGGTTGCTAACATGTGTCTAGTCTGGGACACAGGTTGGTGAGAGGAATCCGGTCATGGGCCAGGCTCTAGGCTAAAACTTACTGGGGGCAAGTGATGAATAAGACATGCTGGGTTCTAGAGCCTGGGAGGGTGGCATGTGTGTGGGTGCAGGGTAAGGGATTAGCATGCCTGCCTTGGGGTGTGGGGACAGCCTTTTCTGTGTGCGGATGCAGAATGAGTGCACTGTAAATGTTCCTGCCCATCCCAGTCAGCGCCTTTCCCTTGCCTGTTCCTCCAGGCATTCATTTAGTCATTCCTTCATTCATTCACTTATACAACACATATTTTTGGAGTGCCTCCTGGGCACCAGGTGCTGTGCTGAGTGTCTGGACCTAGTGGCCATGAAGTAGGTCCCTGGATGTAGCTCCCAGGAGCTGTAGGGGAGGGTTCCAGCCTGTCTCTGGGTCATCATTATCAGTAGAGCCCTGGCTATTCCCTTCCCTGAGTCCCAATCTTCCTGTGGGGGATGAGAGGTAGCTTGGAAATGGCTGCTCAGAGACCTGGGTTTTTTAAGAATAAGCCTGGGGCAGGGAGGAGGGCAGCTCCTGCAAGATGGAAAATGTGAGCCTGCGGCTGGAGCTCCTAGGGCTGCCAGCATTCCTTGAGAACGGGCTGGGCCAGCGTCCCTGGGCACACTTTCTCTTGCTCATACAAATACACATAGACCACATACACGTATTCACAGCTCCAGCTCAGAGACCCAACACCCATCTCACACTCCCATCCAGTGACACCCTGATGTTGTAGCTTCCAGAAGCACGCCTCCAGACATATTAGGATACACACCCAAAGAAGCACACAAGCCCGTGCAGATACACAACCACCTGTCATGTCACTCCCACACATTACCAAACAGATACAACGGAGACTCACATCATCTAGGAGACCCCTGGGCACAGAAACACACTCTTAAACACACATCTTATACCCCAGACATACCTGGCTGTGTCCCAGAGGTAGACAC